TTCAGATTTTCTTATCCTGTTTTCCGCTTGCTCTTCTATCTTAGCAGTATTGAAAGATTTGTCTTCCAGCTCACTAGTTCTAGCTTCCATCTCTTCTATTCTGCTCCTTCCCCTTTCAGTATATTGTCCATTTCCGATATCTTATTATTAATCATCTGGACCTCTTTTTGCAGGTTTTGAATTGTTTCCAATGATGTACCAATCTTATTTGATTGCACTTGTAGTACTTTCCTTTTTCCTTGTTTTCCTCCACCCCTTTCCAGAGAATTTGAATTTGTTTCTGTATCATCCTTCTGAATTCTTTCTCTGGCATATCCAAAATCTGCTCTTCCTCTTCTAGAAAGCCTTTGTCTGTCTCCAGCTTATTTTTCTCAGCTACTCTCTTCTGTTTTGGGGCACTCGTTTTTTGAAAAACCAGGAGTCTTGTTTGCAGTACGAGAGCTGAAACACAAAGGCAGTCTCACCATGTTCAACTTCAGTTGGGATCATGCATGTTGGGCAACTCAAATTTTCCATTGCTCGGTGCTGTCTGTGAATGACCACTAAAATACCACAAATATTGACTTTGTCAAGTTGATAAATTCACAAATATATCTATAAATAATGAGGGTCAACTTCTGTTCTCATGGAGCTTTTACAGGGTCTGGTTCTAATGAAGCAGGAAAGACTTGGTCTCAAGACACAGCCATGCCACCTATAAGCAAATCACATAACCTAACACTTGACTTCCTTGCTTTTTAAAGTGTTGAAGAGCAAAGATGTCAGCTTGAGGACTAAGGTGTGCTTGACCCAAGCCATAGTATTTTTAATAACCTCATATGCACGTGAAAGCTGGACAGTGAATAAGGAAGACCATAGAAGAATTGATGCTTTTGAGTTATGGTGTTGGAGGAGAATATTGAAAGTGCCATGGCTGCCAAAAGAACTAACAGATCTGTGTTAGAAGAAATGCAGTCAGAGTGCTCCTTGGAGGCCAAGATGGCCAAACTTCGTCTCTCATATTTTGGACATATTGTCAGGAGGGACGAGTCGCTGGAGAACGGTATCATGTTTGGTAAGGTGGAGGGTCAGAGAAAAAGAGGATGACAACCCCCACCCCCCAATGAGATGGATTGGCCAAGTGGCAGCATTGATGGACTCAAGCGTGGCAACAATAGTGAGGTTGGCCCAGGATTGGGCAGTGCTTCGTTCTGCTGTGCATAGGGTTGCTATGAGTCGTTACCGACTCGATGGCACCTGACAACAACCTAGAAATCAATAAGCCCTGGTGGCACATTGGTTAAAGCACCAGCAGCCCCTCAGCAGAAAGATGTGGCTCGGTAAAGATTCCCAGCCTTGGAAACCCCATGGGGCAGTTCTCCTCTGTCCTGCAGAGTCACTGAGTCAGATTCCACACAACAGCAGTGGGTTTGGTGTGAAGCTACAGAAATTACTGAGCATGTATCTGCTTGCCTGAAACAAATTTCCAGAAGATTACTAAATCAGTGTATAAGCAAATGTCCTCTAGAAAGGTTGTGTCAAAGTCATGCCCATCAGCAACATGAAGATTATCTACTTCCACACACTGTTTATCAATACTGCACATTATTATTGCCAGCTACTTGAACAGACAACTTTTCTCAGCAGGGTTTCCTACTGTGGAAATAATGATCTTGCAGCCAAAATATACTAGGCTTTTTAAGGTATTGTACACTAAAAAGAAAAGACTGACAAGGATAATCCAAGCACTGCTTGAAAAACAATAAAATACTGCAATTATGATCAGGAACCACAGGGAGGAAGTAGAATAACTGCTGTTGCATGGAGGGAACTGTAATCATTGAGATAAAACAAAGTATGATTTGTTGAATGTAAAACAGATGATCTTGTCTGTAAACCTTCACTCAATTCACAATAAAAAAGCTAAAAAAAAAGACTTCCAAATCAAACTTATCCTCTACTAAACATCATTTCATTCATCCTCACTGGAGCGCTAGTGTGGCAAAGTAAGGTAAGCACTGGACTGCTAACAGCAAAGTCAGCATTTCAAACCCATCAGCATCTCCTCAGAAACCCTACATAGGGTTGCTATGAGTTGGAACTGACTCAAAAGCACTAAACAGCAACATTCACCCTCATCAGAACAAAATACACTCAAGTCTACTGGGCTGTTGGCTAATCAAATACCATCATACCAAAGGTAGCTTCATGAATGAAAAGTCCCACTTACTGGTAAAATTAAACAAACCAAACAAAAACTGATTAGTTATATCCTGGTGTACTGTACGATAAGCACTGGACTGCTAACCACAAGGTCCGTGATTCAAACCTACCAGCTGCTTGGAATGCCTATATAGGGTGCCTATGAGTTAGTTGGAACTGACTTAACAGCACTTAACAAGCTGTTAGGTTCACCTTGCAGAGCTGAATGCAATAAGTACACTGGAACAGTCCAATGAATGAGCAGGGCACTGGCACTGGTATGAGCACCCCTGTGTCTATTCCCATTTCTGTATATTTGCATCATCAAAGAGTCTGAAAACACAATACATGCATCTGAAAGCAGAAAAGGTAACTGGAAAGTCGTTCATGTAGGGCAAAACAGATTAAAAGTACTCCATCTCCTTTCAACCAAACAACAGATTGGCACTTGAGGAATCATGGTGTGCTGCTGTAGAATATGCACTGGACTGCTAACCACAAGGTTGGCAGTTCAAACCTACCAGCCACTCCTTGGAAACCCTATACAGGATCACTACAGAAACCCTGTACTGACTTGATGGTACTGAACAACACCACTTGAGTCCTATGCTTCCTTAAATAATATGCTATAGGAGACCAAACTGTCAACATCTACCTGCATGCAAAGATGAGAAGTTAAAGGGGGGACAAGGAAACTAGATGAACAGAAACAGCAAACATTATAACTAGATGAACAGAAACAACAAACATTATAAAAATTATGAGTCTGAAAAATGTAACCAATGCCACAGAACAATTTGTACAAAAACTGCTAAATAGGTACCTAATTTGCTATGTAAACTAAAACACAATGAAATGTTAAAAAACAAAACAAACATGGTACTCCTGGTGATTCTGCAGTTTAAAAATTTCTCATTTAAATAAAGATGAGGCTTTCTGCTCCTGTAAAGATTTACAGCCTCGGAAACCCTGTACAGGATCAGTTTCTTTATTTGGCAAGAAGGGCATGCTTCTAAGGTCTGATTTTCCTTACACTTCTTTGCAAGTAAATGTCATTTCCTTTCTAAATGTGTCCATTTTCCTTTCATATAAAATACTAAAAGCTTATAAACATCTTGCAGTAAATACATTTTAATCTGGAAACCATCTGGTTTATGAGAGCATGGCTCTGATGTCATTCCCCAGCCACTTAGTGGATGATTACACCATCTGGAGAAAAGTGGGTTCTTGGAATGACATGAGAGAGACCCTAAAATAGCACCCAGCACAGACAATAGGCCCCAACATACACCACAGCCCTTCAACAGAAGTGACCCTTTCCCAACAATCGGATCTTTCCTTACCATATGCAACAGCACCCTGTAAGATGACCCCATTTAGGAAATACAGGAACAAAGTTTTGAAGTCAGGCCATCTCAGGGTGCGGAGGGGAAAAACAAGATGATCCTGATTTAAATTCTTGTTTCTGCATTTTGATGTAAAATTGTGGGCAAGTCTACAGTACTTATAGGCATAAGGTTTCCTTACCTGTAAAATTAGATACTACATTATGATTGATGTGATTCAATCATAAAACATTATATAAATGTGCACTATTTTGTAGCCATATCGGGAGTTATAGATTGGGTGCAGTAATAGAATTAAGCCAAACAAGTAAATGGAGAACTAGATTAAATCTATTATGTGGTTAGAATTTGCTTTAGTTTTCAGGAGTCTAGATATATTTCCTCTATCAGGAGAAAAAATATATACTGGACAGATGAAAATTATATACAGAGGTCTTCACACACAAAAAAGACCGTCTAGTATCAATAATCTTGTGAAAGTCTTTAACATAAACACAAAACCTATCAAATGTCTAAAAACTGCTTTAACATAAGCCACCAGGGCCTTGGGTACACAGGTGGAACAATTAATATGCGCTGATGACAAGCACTAGACTGCTAACCTACCTCAAGGTTGGCGGTTCAAACCCACCAGATACTCCTTGTAAACGCTATACAGGGTCACTATGAGTCAGAACCGACTCGACAGCATTTAACAACAACATAATCAAACTGTACAACTACTTTTAAGCAAATTCATATTTTCCAAGCATCTAATTCAACAGGGTTGGAGTCCTGGTCCACAAAGTCGGTTTGAACTGCAAGGTTGGTTTGAACTGCAAGGTTGGCAGTTCAAATCCACCAACCGCTCCACGGAAACCTTCCACAGGGATGCTATGAGTTGAAACCGACTCCATGGCACTTAACAACAACCAATCTTTACACGGGAGTGGTTGGTGTACACAAACTCACTGTCATGAACCGGTTCCGACTCAGCGATCCTGCAGGGGGTTTCAGAGGCTGTAAACATTTGCAAAAACAGAAAACCTCATCTTTCTTCTGCGGAGCGGCTGGTGGGCTCGAACCGCTAACCACCAGAGTATACCTTTGTTAAACTCCCAAGCAGTTCGAAACTACCAGCGGTTCCAAGGGAGAAAGGTGAGGCTTTCTGCTCCCGTAAAGATTTGTTGTTATGTGCCGTGGAGTCAGTTCGGACTCATAGCAACCCCTATATAGGGTTTCCAAGGCTGTAAATTTTTACAGGGACAGAAAGCCTTATCTTTCTCCCGCGGAACAGCTAGTAGTTTCGAACTGCTGACCCTGAGGTTCGCAGGTCGATTCGTAACCAGTACGCGACCAGAGATTTACAGCCTTGGAAACCCTGCACAGAGTCGCTATGAGTCGGAACCGACTCCACGGCACATAACAACAACAAAGCATCTTTTCCAGCGAAAACTGTACACTGCAAAAGACTCCGTCCCCAGGCCCGATTACGCTGCACGGCTCTGGCGAACCCGTTCCTCCTCCATCCCAGCCCACAGGACGACCACACTCGCGGTGTAAACGCCCGCGCTGGCCTTGTGAGGGGTCCCGCCGCTTCGGCCCCCGCACACAGCCACGCACCCGCCGCGCCGCTAGATCCACTAGGAAAAGCTGGAGGGCGAACAAAACTGACTAGCTTTCCATGAATTTACTCAGCCCAACCTCGGTTTCCTTGACGGAAGGAATAGGGGAGCTGCAGCAGCAGCCAGGGGCCCAGGAAAGGGGCCCGAAGTGGCCAGGCATTCCCGGACCCCGAGGCGCCCGCCAGGCGGCGCGGACCAACCCCCCAAATCCAATGTCGACATGTCGCGCACGGACCTGCAAGTGATCTGTTTGGTGCTCATGATGGTCAGGTTTGGGGCCAGTCGTCGCACTACAGCCTCTCACTCTCGGTACCGCCACCTCGGCCTTGGCCCTGCCCATGCCGCGCAGTCGCGTCACGTCGGCGCACAACGCCCTCCGGATGTGTCATCTTTGTATCCCGGGCCGGAAACCTATCCGCCGTCACAATTGGTTCCACTCTGACGCTAGGGCGGATCCGTTTCCCCAATCCTGGCCCTCAAGGTTCCGCATTTGTAAGCCTCCCCGGGTAGGGGTTGATGGGTCGTCTGACTTGTTGGCTGGAGTTTTAGTTGTGCCAGACTTCTCCTGCGTTCCAACTGATTGTTCTCATGACTCCGACCCTATCTCCACTGGCGTTCCTTAGCATCGTTATCGCCTGTCCCTAGAGTCTCCTCATTCCTTGTTCCAACAAAACTACCGCTTCCTGGGGCTGTGGTTGGTTGAAGAGGGCGTTGTAACCATGGCAATGAAACGATATACGATAGGATTAATGTAAAGCTAATATTCTCCCATGTAAACTATCACATAATTCACAATAAAACATTTAAAACAACAACAACAACACAAAAAACTACCGCCTCCATCCTAAGCTTTTTCATCCCAAATACTCTTACTCTACCAAGCTTGCACTCCTAGGCCCCTTTCTCAGATCCTACCTACCTCCGCTTCTATTCAAGGAATTCTTTGGCCCTTATTAACTTCTCTTTTTTAAAAGTTAGCCTTTTATAGAATTTATACTCACACCCCAAAACAAGGCCAGGGGCAGACTGGAACAGACCATCAATTGCTCATATGCAAGTTCAGGCTGAAACTTGAAGAGAATGAAAACAAGTTCACGAGAGCCAAAATATGACCTTGAACATATCCCAACTGAATTTACAGACCATCTCAAGAACAGATTTGATGCTTTAGGCACTAATGACCAAAGACCAGAAGAGTTGTGGAATAACATCAATAACATCATAGGAAGAAAGCAAAAGGTCAATTAAAAGCTAGAAAAGAAAGAATGCATGTCAGAAGAGACTTTGAAACTTTCTCTTGACCATAGATAAAGCTCATGAAAGAAATGAACAGGTAAAAGAAGCGAGAAGAAAATTTCAAAGGGCAGCTTGAGAAGACAAAGCAAAGTATTGTGAAATGTGCAAAGACCTGGAGTTAGAAATTGAAAAGCAAAGAACACACTCAGCATTTCTCAAGCTGAAAGAACTGCAGAAAAAATTCAAGCCTCAACTTACCATACTGAAGGATTCTATGGGAACTTCTGTGTCGTGCTGTAGGATCAGCACTGAACTGCAAACCACAAGATCGGCAGTTCAAACCCACAAGCTGTGGAGTCAGTCTTATTCTTGTGACCCCGTCTAGGGTTTCTGAGTAGTGCTGTAGTACTACTCAGCACTACAGTTTGTTGAAAACTAAAGCAAATTCTAACCACAGTTTCTGTAGTGCTACTCAGAAACCCTAGAAAGGGTCACAAAAATTAGAACTGACTCCACAGCACTGAACAACAGTAACATAGGCAAAATAATGAATGGTGCAGAAAACATCAAAAGAAGATGAAAGGAATACACAGTCACAGTACCAAAAAGAAATGGTCGCTGTTCAACCAGTTCAAGAGGTACTGTATGATCAAGAACCAACAGTACCAAAGGAAGAAGTTCAAACTACAATGAAGGCATTGGCAAAAAACAAGGCTCCAGGAGTTGGCGGAATACAAATAGAAATCTTTCAACAAACTCATGAAGCACTGAAGGTGCTCACTCATCTATGCCAAGAAATTTAGAGGACAGCTACCTGGCCAACACATTGGAAGAAATCTATATTTGTGCCAATTCCAAAGAAAGGAGACCCAACAGAATGTGGACATCATCTTGTCAGATCTTGTCAGGTGTTGTCATATATAATTAACATCACAGCCAAGCAGAATTTTGCTGAAGATAATTTAAAATTGGCTGCAACAATACATCAACAGAGACCTGCCAGAAATTCAAGCCAGATTCTGAAGAGGACATGGAACTAGATATATATTGCCAACATCCAATGGATCTTGGCTGAAAGCAGAGAATACCAGAAAGATGTTTACTTGTGCTTTATTGACTATGCAAAGATTTTGACTGTGGATCATAACAAACTATGTATAACATTGCAAAGAACTGTTGTTATTGTTGTTAAGTGCCGTCGAGTCAATTCCAACCCATAGCCACCCTATATAGGGTTTCTGAGGCTGTAAATCTTTACGAGAGCAGAAAGCCTCACCATCTATCCCATGGAACAGCTGGTAGTTTCGAACTGCTGACCTTGAGGCTCACAGCTCAATTTGTAACCACTACACTACCAGAGCTCCTTTTCTAAAATACTTAATTTTGCTCATGAAGAACCTATATGTAGATTAAGAAGCAGGTTAGAACATAATAAGGGGATATTGAACGGCTTAAAATAATGAAAGATGTGCACCAGGATTGGATCCTTTCACTATACTTATTCAGTCTGTATGCTAAGCAACTAATCTAAGAATCTGGATTTTATGAAGAAAAATGCGGCATCAGAATTGAAGGAAGATCATTAACGAAGAGCGATGTGCAAATGATACAACCTTTCTTGCTAAAGCCAAAAGCATTTAAAATACTGATTGTTGTTGTTAAGTGCCGTTGAGTCGGTTCCGACCCATAGCGACCCTGTACAGGGTTTCCGAGGGTGTAAATCTTTACGGGAGTAGAAAGCCTCATCTTTCTCCCGCGGAGCAGCTGGTAGTTTCGAACCGCTGACCTTAAGGTTCGCAGCCCGATTCGTAGCCACTACGCTACCAGAGCTCCTTAAAATACTGATGAAGATCAAAAAACTACATGCTTCAGTATAAATTGCACCTCAGTGAAAAGAAATCATAAATCCTCATAACTTGCTTAATAAATAACATGATAAATGAAAAGATTGATGTTGTCAGAGACTTCATTTTGCTTGGATCCACTATCAACACTCACAGAAGGAGTAGTCAAGAAAGCATACAACATATTGCATTAGACAAATCTGTGGGATAAGACCTTATTAAAATGTTCAAGAGCAAAGATAATTTGTTTGAGGACTAAGATGTGCCTGGTCCAAGCCATGATATTTTCAATTGTCTCATATGCATGCGGAAGATGGACAGTGAATAAAGAAGGATTTATGCATTTGAGTTGTGGTGTTGGAGAAAAATATTAAAAGTACCATGGACTGCCAGAACAACAAACCAATCTGTGTAGGAAAAGTGCAACCCAAATGCTCCTTAGAAGCCAGGATGGTGAGGATTCATCTCTTATATTTTAGACATCTTATGAGGAAGGGAAGGACCCGTACTTGGACAAGGACATCATGCTTGGTAAAATGGAGGATCAGGGAAAAAGAAGAAGACCTCCAATGAGATGGATTGACACCACAACTTAAACAAAACAAAAATTCTGAGAATGGCACAGGACAGACAATGTTTTGTTATGTTGAGCATAAGGTTGCTATGAGAGTTGAAACTGATACGACAACACCTAAGAACAGCAACAGCGACTTCCACCCACATTTCAATCCTCCTTTTCTTGGTGGTGGTGGTTGTTAAGTGCCAACGAGTTGGTTCTAACCATATGCACAACAGAACAAAACACTGCCCACTCCTGCACTGTCCTCATAATTATTGTTATGCTTGGCCCATCGCTGCAGTCACTGTCCATCTTACTATGGGTCTTCCTTTTTTTCTCTGACCCTCCACTTTACCAAGAATGATATCCTTCTCCAGGGACTGGTATCTCCTGATACTATGTCCAAAGTACGCGAAACAAAGTTGCCATTCTGGCTTCTATGGAGCTTTGGGGCTGTACTTCTTCTAACACAGATTCCTTTGGTTTTTTGGGGGTTTTTTTTGGCAGTCTGTAGTACTTTCAGTATTCTCCAACACCATAATTGAAATGCATCCATTCTTTTATGGTCTTCCTTATTCACTGCACAACTTTCGCATGAATATGAGGCAGTTGAAAATATCATAGCTTGGACCAGGCGCAATTTAGTCCTCAAACTGACATCTTTGCTCTTGAACACTTTAAAGAAGTTTTGTGCAGCAGAATTGACTAATGCAATATGTCCTTTGATTTCTTGATTGCTGGTTCCATGAGTGTTGATTGAGAGTCCAAATAAAATGAAACGTTTGATAACTTCAAACTTTTCTCCATTTATCTTGAAGTTACAGGTCCAGTGATGAGAATTTTTGTTTTCTTTACACTGAGGTGCAATCCATACCCAAGGTTGTACTCTTTGATCTTCATCAGTAAGTATTTTAAGTCCTCTTTGCTTCTAGCAAGCAAAGTTGTATCATCTGCATATCACAAGTTGTTAATGAGTCTTTATCCAATCCTGGAGCCACATTCATCTATTACCAGAGCCGCTCAAAGGAGTTGCTGAACACCATGCAGATTCCAAAAGGAAGAGTTTTATCAGGCCAGCACAGTTTAGTGGATTCCCATCCAAAGACTGAGAGTCTTTATTCGGGGTTGCAAACGTTTTATTGGGTTTCTAGCAGGTGGGGTAGCTGGGGGGCGATTTTGCAATGTCTGTAAGGATATGTTCTTTTTACAGAAGCAAAAAAAAAAAAAAAAAAAGCGAAGCTGATTACAAGGGGCGGAGGTCTCCTGCCTGGAGACTTTTTCTGTTGAGTTGTTAGGGGCTTTTTATTCTGTAAGTTTCACTTCCTCAGAAATGGCTTGGATTCCCATCTCACTGTTGTTAGGTGCTATTGAGTCAGTACAGACTCATAGTAGCCCTATAGGGCCCTATACAACAGTACGAAACACTACTCGATTCTGGGCCAACCTTACAATTGTTGTCATGCTTGAGCCCATTGATACTGCCACTTTGCCAATCCACCTCACTGGGGGTCTTTCTCATTTTCTCTGACCCTCCACCTTAATAAACATGATATCCTTCTCCAGCAGCTGGTCCCTCCTGATAA